GTGACCCTCAGCACCTGTGCAGGGCTCAGGTATGGGCGCAGGGCTCTCAGGTAGGAGGTACCAGCCTGGCACTGCCGGTGGCACCGTCTCCCCCCTCAGGGGCCTGCTGCAATTCCACAACGCCAGCTTTGGGATCGAACCTCTGGGCTCCTCTCCCACCTTCGAGCATTTCGTTTATCGGCTGAGAAATGAGAACACGGCGGGGTTCCTGTTTGCTCAGAGCCACCCCAGGGCTGCAGGAAGAGGGATGCAGGAGGTGAGCGTGGGGCCGTGCCCTGTGGGGCTCTGAGCCTGGGCAGCCTGGATGGGCAGTGATGGCAATGGCTTGCAATGAGCTGCTGTGTGGTCACTGTGCTCCTGCCTCATCTAACAAGAGGAGCTGCTGAGCTGAGGTGGCTCTGCACATCATTGAGATTTACATAGCACAGCAAAGCTCAGGGACACAGTTCCTAGGGTGTAGGAATACAGAGCATCCAGCTGTTCTCTTTTCAGCCACCATCGGATGCAGCCCAGTTGCCCAAGTACATTGAGGTGTATGTAGTTCTGGACAAGGCTCTGGTAAGTCAGCAGCATCCGTTTCCTCCCTGTGTTTGCTCTGATTGTGCCATTTCCAGCTTCCACTAATTCGTGGCTTCCCTTTGGGGTGGTATTTGTGCTGAGGGTTTTGCAGGAAGGGAAGGTGGATGTTGGTAGCTCGCACTTACGTGATGGGCATAAGGAACACTTTAACATTGTCTTGTACAAGCCATGCTTTGCCCATTTTCATGCTGTTTTTCTCATGTTGCTTTTCAGCACAACTATTTGGGCTCAGACCAGAATGCTGTGACGCAGAAGATGATCCAGGTTTTCAATTTAGTGAACAGTGTAAGTTTGGCAGAGGCGCAACCCCTTGGGCTGACACAGAGGTTTAATTGCTCTGAGACCAAGGCGTGAGCAGCCACTGCTGCTGCTACGTTTCAGATCTTTAATCCCCTGAATGTGACCGTGGTGCCGTCCTCCCTGGAGCTCTGGATGCAGCAGAACAAAATCCCAACGGATGGAGCAGCAGATGAGCTTCTGCAGCGGTTCCTGCAGTGGAAGCAGTCGCACCTGGCTCTGCGGCCACACGACGTTGCCTGTCTGTTTGTGTAAGAACAAAACACCCCAATAACTGCAGATGAGCAGAACTCAGCCCACAGCTTCCAGCTGCGGGGCATCACAGGAAGGTCTGTACACAGAGCTGCTGTGTTCCAGGTACCGGGACCAGGCTGACTTCACAGTGGCAACATCTCCGGGCACGCTGTGCCGCAGTGGTGCATCTGCTGCTGTGGCCGTGGTATGGGGCTGTGCTATGGGGCTGTGCTATGGGGTCGTGCTATGGGGCTGTGCTGAATGGGGAGATGTGGCCAGGCCGTATCACAGCCAACAGCACTGCTCTCCTGCAGCTGCAGCACGCCGTGACTCTGGAATCGTTCTCCGTCGTCCTGGTGCAGCTGCTGGGGCGCAGCCTGGGCATGGGGTTTGATGATGGCCGGGGCTGCCACTGCCCCACACACACCTGTGTCATGGAATCGAGAGCACTGTGAGTGCCCGGGGGTCCCTGTGTTACAGATACCCCCAGCAGAGGGCTCTGCTGCAGATGTGGTGGTGGAGGTGGTGTAGGGATACCTGCTTGGGAAGGGAGGAAGGATAAATAGGGATTCGCTTTTGAAAATCAAAGCTTTATTTCTGAAAGCAAGAAATTCCTGAACACTGCCCAATCCCCATCAGAATCACAGAATGGCCAGGGTTGGAAGGGATCTCAAGGATCACGGAGCTCCAACCCCCTGCCACAGGCAGGGCCACCAACCTCCACATTTCACACCAGCCCAGGCTGCCCAGGGCCCCATCCAACCTGGACTTGAACACCTCCAGGGATGGACGGGGCATCACAGCCTCTCTGGGCAGCTGTTCCAGCCCCTCACCGCTCTCACAGCAAAGAACTTCCCCTGACATCCACCCTCAATCTTCCCTCCCTCAACTTCAAACCATTTCCCCTTGTCCTGCTGTCATCTCCCCTTTCCAAGAGTTGATTCCCTTCCTGTTTGTAGGCTCCCTTTAGGTCCTGCAGCCTTCAGCGCTGCACGGCAGTGGCGGTGCCAGCAAAAACGGCTCATCCTTTCTTTCAGACACATCAGTGGGACAAAGGCTTTCAGCAGCTGCAGCACTGCAGACCTGGAGCAGTTCCTGAGGCACGATGCAGGGCGCTGCCTCCTGCACAGCCCTCAACTGCGGGGCTCCTCCCCACGCCGTGCGCCCATCTGCGGTAACGGCGTGGTGGAGCAAGGCGAGCAATGCGACTGCGGCGGCACCGAGGTGTGCACTGCAGCATCTGCAGACAGAGCTGTGTGTTGTCCATGCAGAGCTGTGCAAGGCTGTGCTCGGATCCTGGCATCGATCTGACGGCAGCTTTGCGCACTCTGGCTTGATTCTCGTTGTGGGGGTGAAAAAGGGGAGAAAGTGTGATGATGAGATGTTCTTTGGGGGGGGATGGACAAAAATGGGGTGTAATGTGGTGCTGCTGTGTCCTCAGGCATGCTTGAAGGATAAATGCTGCACTAAAGGATGCATGTTTAAGCCAGGAGTGAAATGTTCCTCCGGGTTATGTTGTGAAGAATGTCAGGTAAGGCTCTGATCTTGTAACCATCATCGATCGTCGGAGAAATATCTTAAGGATGGAGACAAACTGCTGCTGCCCAATTGAGGTGGTTCCTGGGTGGGGATTCCCAGCTCAGCTCCCTTTAATTCTGGACGGATGTTACTGGGGGAGGTGTTATTGCTGGGGCTATGCAATGCCCCAAAGCCACGGGCTGCAGCCAGCAGTTGGTTTTTAATCCCAGTTCAAAGCTCCCAACACTCCATGCCGTCCCCCCGCCGACGCTCAGTGCGATCTGCCCGAGTTCTGCAACGGCTCCTCTGCCTCCTGCCCCCCTGATGTCTACGTGCAGGACGGGCACAGCTGTGAGCACAGCACAGGCTACTGCTACCACGGGCGCTGCCAGTCTGCTGAGCTGCAGTGCCAGCGGCTCTATGGGAGAGGTAGAGGCACCCAGCACAGCACTGGGGACCGTGGGTGGTGGGATGCTGGGTGGTGGCAGCGACTGGGGTTTGCATTCTGCTGTGTGCAACCTGAGGAAATAGGAAGCTGTTGAGGGCTGTGTGTGAAGAGCAAAGTTACTGGTAAAACGTGCAGGTTCGAGGAGCGCTCCCGTGGTGTGCTATGAGGAACTGAACAGCCAGAGGGACAGATTTGGGCACTGCGGGTACCACCCCCGGCACGGCTACAGGGCCTGTGCATGGAGGTAGGTGGCTGAAGAGGGGCACTTCCCTGCTAAAAGCACACAGTTGGGTTTAATTCGGGCTGTGCAGAGCAGTTAAGCATCAGTGCTGTAGTTGTGCTCAGCAGCAAACGCAGCGCTGCGTGTGTTCTCCTTGCCAGCACGGCAGCCCCTCTGCACACTGGTGCTGTGAACGATGCTGATGTTTCACCACGCAGTGTCTGTCCATATCCGTGTCCAAGCATCCATCTGATGCAGATTGATGTTCCAGGAACCTTCGCTGTGGCAAACTGATCTGCACCTACCCACACAGCGCCCCGCTGGAGACTGACGGCGCTGCAGTTGTTTATGCCCGGGTTCGGGAGCAGCTGTGTGTATCTCTGGATTTCCTGAATGCACCACCAAGGCAAGATCCCCTGCTGGTCCCACCGGGCACAAAATGCGGCTCTGAAATGGTAGGAAAATATTTGATCTGCATTTTTATTTAAAAATGCGTTGAAGATTTTGCTCCGATGTGGGGGGCTGAGCTGAGCACTCTGACTGTGATGTTCCAGGTGTGCATAAACAACACGTGCCACCCTCACTCCGTGCTGGGCTACGACTGCAGCAGTGAAATCCAATGCCACGGCCACGGAGTGAGCAACAGCGTGGGGCTGCGGGGGGATTCCCTACCCACACCATATCATGATGGGTGGCCCTGGGCAGAGCTGTGCCTGACCTGAAGACCCTCTGCTCCCCCCCCGTATCTCCCCCAGGTGTGCAATAACCGCCGGCACTGCCACTGCTATCCAGGATGGAAACCTCCCGACTGCCGTCAGCGTGGGTCGCGCCTCGGGGGCAGCGTGGACAGCGGTGTGCAGCTGCTGCGCAACAGTGAGTGCAGCAGTGTGGGGTTGTAGAACCATAGAACCGTAGGATCACAAGGTTGGAAACGACCTGCAAGATCATCCTGTCCAACCTCCCATCACCACTGCTACCACCAGCATTAAACCACATCTCGCAGCTCCTCATCCAGACGCCTTTTGAATGCTGCCAGGGACGGCGACTCCACCACCTCCCTGGGCAGCCATTGCAGTGCCTGAGAGAAAAAGTTCTTCCTCATGCAGGGCCACCAACCTCCACATTTAATACCAGCCCAGGCTGCCCAGGGCCCCATCCAACCTGGCTTTGAACACCTCCAGGGATGGACAGAGCATCACAGCCTCTCTGGGCAGCTGTTCCAGCACCTCACCGCTCTCATAGCAAAGAACTTAACGCTCTCTCTGCCCCAGGGCCCCACCAGCACCGGGCGAAGCAGAACGCGGCGAGGAAGGCAGGGTTACTGGCCGCCTGCTTGCTGCTGCCCGCTGTGCCCGTGGTTGTGCTGCTGCTGCTGCTTCGCCGGGAGCTGCGGATCCGTCAGATGAGGAGCGGAGAGCGGTGAGTGCGGGGCGGTGCGGTGCGGGGCTGAGCCGCTCCGTGCGCTCACATCTCCCTCTCTGTTCATCGCAGCATCGCCGAGGAGCGCAACGAGGACGCGGAGGAGGAGCAGGAGGAGGAGAAGGAAGGGGATGAAGAGGAGGGGAACGCGGCGGAGAGCAGCGGGAGCGAATAAAGCGTTGGGAGCACCGCGCGGCCGCGTCTCTGTCCTGGGGATGAGGGGGGGAGGGGGGATGGCACGGAGGGGCCGTTACAGTGGGGCCGTTACCGGAGGGCTCGCAGTATGGAGCTGCTCCTGGTGATGCTGCTGGCGATGCTGGACGTTCTGCGTGAGTCCGACCCTTTGCGGGGCTGTGTGGGTGGGGATCCCGGCTCGGAGCTCAGCCGCCTGGTGGCCGGTGGGCAGAGGGATGAGGATTTGGGGCTTTGTAAGGAGGAGACCTTGGGAGGACCCCGTGCCGGTTGGGTTTGCTCTCAGCAAATGTTGAGCTCTGCTGCTGGGGGTTGAGCTGCTTGAAGAGCCCTTCTGCTGCCTGCTGCAGTGAGCACGAATTGTGCTGTTGTGCCCAATGTGCAAAGTTCCATTCAGGGACAGCAGCACCGCGGCGTGGGGCAGAGCTGAGCTCCTCCTGAAGCAGATGTTGGCATGCAATAAACAGCGAGCATGGGCTCCATGAGCCCTGCAGGTGAGCTGACCTGGAGCCTCCAATCGCTCCCATTGCTCAGAGTTCATATGGCCAGGCTCGGGTCCAGCAAGCAATACGTGGACTTTGGTTTAACCTTCATAAAAGGTGCTGCATGGCTGCGAGGCAGAGCAGGTGAAGTTCTGCAGGCACAACCCATGCAAAGCTGCCTTTCCTGCTGCTCACCGACCCAACCGCAGCTCACAGGTGCCCACAGGAGGGGCTGTGATCACTAAACCCAGTTCATTTCTTTAGATTCACAAGTGCCTCTGCACATCACGGTTCCCCAGAGGGTGCTCTCAAACACAACTGGAGAGATGGTATGGATCAAACTGTTCTGTGTGTGTGTGTGTGTGTGTGCATGCCTACCAGTGCAGGGTGCAGCCCTTACAGTGCAGCTCTGGGAAGAGACCCTGAGCTGCCCCAGGGTGGGTGATGGAGTTGGCAGCATCTTCTGTAGCTGCTCCCTGTGTTTTGTTTCCCTTTCCTAATTCTTACTTTGCTTTTCTGCCCATGCAAGGACACGCAGTCCTACATCCTCTCAGTGGAAGGGCGGCCGTACACCATTCACCTCAAGCAGCAGTGAGTTCATTCCAACCTGTTCTTAAGTTCTTTACTATGAGAGAGCGGTGAGGGGCTGGAACAGCTGCCCAGAGAGGCTGTGATGCCCCGTCCATCCCTGGAGATGTTCAAGGCCAGGTTGGATGGGGTCCTGGGCAGCCTGGGCTGCTGTGAAATGTGGAGGTTGGTGGCCCTGCATGTGGCAGGGGGTTGGAGATTTGTGATCCTTGAGATCCCTTCCAACCCTGGCCATTCTGTGATTCTGTTTTGGCAATTCCAACCTGCTGCCACCCCCCCATGGCTGCGCTGGGGGCTGGGGCTGCTCCTGCCTGCAACTCCAATGGCAGCGGTTTGGGGTCTGCAGGGACTGTGGGCTCCATACACGTGCAGTGTGGCTGCAGCAGTTGGTTTGATCTGGGGAAATCCCAGATAAACATTTCTTTGGGTGTTTTCAGAGCGTTTTGCTGTATTTCTGTTCCAGGTTCTTTTTACCTGCTGATTTCAGCATTTACACATACAATGAGACAGGATCGTTGCGCTCTGATTCACCCTATATCAAGGTAATCTCAGCTAGCTTCTCTCCGTTGGCAGTTTGCAGGGTGGCCTTCCTGCTCGGTGCTTTCAGACTTGTCTCTCCTTATTACAGGAGAGTGGAGTTTCCCTCCTTTCTCCACTTTTTGGCATCCTAAACCATGCAGGAAGTGCTGGGGTGGAACAGAAAGCTGTCCATGCAGATACGCAACCAGAGCCAAAGTTGGGAAGGTTTGGGATGTGCTGAGGGTTCCCTTTGCTTTGCCGTAGGGCGACTGCTACTACCGTGGCTACATCGAGGGCATTCCTGGCTCAGCAGTGACCCTCAGCACATGCATGGGGCTCAGGTATGGGGCGCAGTGCTGCTGTGCTCAGTGCTGCCCGGCGCTGCTCACAGACTGACGCTGTGCCCCCTGCAGGGGCCTGCTGCAATTCCACAATGCCAGCTATGGGATCGAGCCGCTGGGCTCCTCGCCCTCCTTCCAGCACGTGGTTTATCCCGTGAGCACTGGGGCTGCAGTTGAGGCTCTGCTCCCACACGGCCACCTTGGGGTCAGCAGGGATGAGCTGGCAGCTGACGGCAGCTCTGACACAGCACAACCAGCTCTGAAAGTGAGTGCTGTCATTGGGACTGACCCAGCATCAACATCTCTGGGTCTGTCGGAGCTCAGCACCCATTACGTCTCAATTACATGGATAGATTAATTAACAGTGACCAGCTTTTTTTCTCCTCCAGCTACTGTCAAGGCACCGCAGAGAGGTGTTGCTCCATGTGGTTCTGGAAAGGAGTTTGGTAAGCCTGGTGCAGACGACTCCAGGCTGTGGTTGTCCTCTGCATTCCTGCAGAGCTTCGCAGTGGTCCCACATCTCTCTGTGCCCCCCCGTGGCCGTCAGCCCATCACAGCACGGCCAATAGCCACCGTGCATCCCTGTGTTCCAGTACAGGCACCTGGGGGACGACCAATACATCGTGTCACAGAAGGTGGTTCAGCTCATCAGCTTCCTCGACAACGTGAGTTTCACCTGTGCTTTGTGTGCTGCAGTGGGGAGTTCTGCTGGTTGGGTTCAGCTCGGCGCTGCTCGGCTTTGTCTCACGTTTGCTTTCAACCGTGCTGTGTCGGGATTACTCCCAGTCCCTAAAATCGCTTTGGTGCCGTGTTGTCCTATAACGAAACGCTCCACTGAGGGGCGGTGGTGCTCCGTGCGCAGAACGGCAGCGGGCTCTTCCCTGCCCGACATGAGGTCATCTCTGTCGTTGTGCATCCAGATGTTCAGCTCCCTGAATGTGACCGTGACGTTGTCCTCTATGGAGGTCTGGAGGTTGAGGAACAAAATTCAGACCACGGGGGCTGGAGAAATGGTGCTGCTGCGCTTCTTGGATTGGAAGAGGAGCAACGCAATCCTGCGGCACTACGTAGTGCCCTACCTGCTGATGTAAGAAAGCCACTGCCTTAGCAGTGAGCTGCTAAACCTTTGTGCTTTGGATCATTGGGCATTGCACAGAGCTGCTGTGTTCCAGGTACCGGGACCAGGCTGACTTTGTGGGTGCGACCTCTCCGGGGATGCTGTGCCGCAGACATGCATCTGCTGCTGTGGCCGTGGTATGGGGCTTTGCTATGGGGCTGTGCTATGGGGTCATGATATGGGGCTGTGCTGAATGGGGGGATGTGGCCAGGCCGTATCACAGCCAACAGCACTGCTCTCCTGCAGCTGCAGCACGCCGTGACTCTGGAATCGTTCTCCGTCGTCCTGGCGCAGCTGCTGGGGCGCAGCCTGGGCATGGGGTTTGATGATGGCCGGGGCTGCCACTGCCCCACACACACCTGTGTCATGGAATCGAGAGCACTGTGAGTGCCCGGGGGTTCCTGTGTTACAGATACCCCCAGCAGAGGGCTCTGCTGCAGATGTGGTGGTGGAGGTGGTGCAGGGGTACCTGCTTGGGAAGGGAGGAAGGATAAATAGGGATTCGCTTTTGAAAATCAAAGTTTTATTTCTGAAAGCAAGAAATTCCTGAACAATGCCCAATCCCCATCAGAATCACAGAATGGCCAGGTTGGAAGGGATCTCAAGGATCACAAATCTCCAACCCCCTGCCACACGCAGGGCCACCAACCTCCACATTCAACACCAGCCCAGGCTGCCCAGGGCCCCATCCAACCTGGCCTTGAACACCTCCAGGGGTGGACGGGGCATCACAGCCTCTCTGGGCAGCTGTTCCAGCACCTCACCACTCTCACAGCACAGAACTTCCCTCTGACATCCATCCTAAATCTGCTTGGGAAGGATAAAGGCTTCTCTATTGAAAAACAATCCCTTTTCTTTCCAAAATCAAGATGTTCCTGAATGCTGCCCAGTGCCACAGCAGTGGCGACGCCAAGGTCCACCCTTTCTTTCAGACGCATCGGTGGGGCAAAGACCTTCAGCAGCTGCAGCGCTGCAGACCTGGAGCAGTTCCTATGGCTAAACCCAGAGTGCCCCTTCCTCAGTGCCCTGCAGTTGCACCCCGACCCCAGAGCCGCCGTCTGCGGCAACGGCGTGGTGGAGCACGACGAGCAGTGCGACTGCGGTGGCGATGTGGTGAGAGGGATGGGGAATGGTTGTGGGGCTGGGATCCCTGCCCTGCTCCCTGACGGCAGGACGGGGGCGGCAGTCATCCTGCAGCGAGAGCAAAAGCTCATAGTGTGCTTGCAGGCGTGTGCCGCGGATGCGTGCTGCACTACGCAGTGCAAGCTGAAGCCCGGCTCGGAGTGTTCCTTGGGACTGTGCTGTGCAAAATGCCAGGTGAGACGGGCGAGTCCCTTCTGGGAGTTAAGGCAAGCATCACGCTGAACAAGGCTGAAACGCTGGGTGGGAGCCGGATGGACGGGATGAGGGTGCGGTGCTCACAGAGCCGCAGCCAGCAGTTGGTGCTCAATCCCAGTTCAAAGCTCCCAACACTCCGTGCCGTCCCCCCGCCGACGCTCAGTGCGATCTGCCCGAGTTCTGCAACGGCTCCTCTGCCTCCTGCCCCCCTGATGTCTACGTGCAGGACGGGCACAGCTGTGAGCACAGCACAGGCTACTGCTACCACGGGCGCTGCAAGTCTGCTGAGCTGCAGTGCCAGCGGCTCTATGGAAGAGGTAGAGGCACTTGGCGCAGTGCTTTTGGGGCCAGAACCCCCCCCACAACTGGGAACGGGTCCCTCTAACCTAAAGAACTGATCTATGCTAAACACAGCCGTGTTTAGCCGTTCTGTTCTGTTGCTTCCAAACTTCCAGGTGCAAAAAACGCCCCTCTGGCGTGTTATGAAGAAATCAACAGTCATCAGGATAGGTTTGGGCACTGCGGCAATCGGCTGCTGGATGGCTACCAGCCCTGCTCCTGGCCGTAGGTGTAACCCAGGGTGTTTGGTTGGTGCTTCCCTTTACTTCCCAAGCAACACTTCATGCAAAGATCTCACACTGCTGCGTTCTGCACACTGACTTTTCTTCCTCTGCTGTGCTCTAATGAATTTCTTAGGAATCTGGGCTGTGGAAAGCTCATCTGCACATACCCAAATCATGTCCCTTTCACCAAATTAAAGGGTGCCATCATTTATGCTCAAGTGCAAGAACATCTGTGTGTGTCTTTTGATGTAATGCATGCACCCAGTGAGGCAGATCCTCTCCTGGTTAAGGACGGCACAAAATGTGGTCCTGGAAAGGTAAGAAGTGTTCCCCAAGCTGGCCATTGCTCTATGAAAGATTCCTTGGTCTTAGGGATGATCAGTAAGCCAATGGCACAGGCAATAAGCAGAGACAACCTTTAAATTATACTGCAAAATAGCAGCTATTTCCAAAGCTGTTACACCCTGTGATCATGGGACATCATCAGCTTGATGAAGGGAGATAGAAAAGTGCCCAGCAGGGTTTTTTTTTTTTTCCTATTGTACTTGCAGGTGTGCATGAATGGCACGTGCCACCCACACTCCATTCTGAACTATGACTGCAATGCAGAGAAAAAATGCCATGGGCACGGGGTAAGTGACAGCAGTGCTGCTGGGGAGGCGATGCTGTGCTGCTCAGTGTTGAAGAGGAGCGAGAGGTTATTTCCAGGTGTTTGGGACTTGGCCAAACCTGGGGGGGTCCTCGTCCTCCAGAGTCATCATGCAGCAGCATGGGAGAAATCGAGTGAGACTATTTAATGTTCTAAGGCCAAAATTAAATGGGATGAAGGAACTTGGAGTATTTGCTCGTCTAGATTAGCGGAAAACTGGAAACGGAGAGTTTTCTTTTCACTCTGGCACTTGCAGGTGTGCAATAACAAGAAAAACTGCCACTGCCAGCCAGGCTGGAAGCCACCCCACTGCAGCACGCGGGGATCTGCGCTGGGTGGCAGCACTGACAGCGGGCAGCGGCTGCGGGAAATGGACAGTGAGTGCGCATAGAGCGGCCCCGAGCAGCCCCAGGGCTCTCAGCATCACCTGGGCTGCCGTGCGGTTCTGTCCCCAGGCCATGCCCCGAAGGTCTCTCCGAAGGATATGAAAAACGCGCTGCTGCTGAGCTTCTGCCTCCTCGTCCCCATCCTCATCTGCATCGTCATCCTGATCATGAAGTGGAGCCGGCTGATGCGGCGCTGTGCCAGGAGTGAGATGGAAGCTGCTGAGTGAGTTGACGTTGGGTGGGTGAGCAGGGATCGGTGGGAGCTCCTGGAAAGCTGTTGAGATCCAGAGGACATATTCCATGCCACCCAGCTGGCTGTCTGCAGAAAAGGCCTGGGAGAAATTGCTGGTTCCAAGGGAAAGGAAACTGTAGAAGGGGAAAAAGTTAGATGCAGGAGGAGCTACAGGTGTCACAGCTGGAAAGCAACACATCTGTCCCGCTGTGAAGCAGTGAGAGAGTGAGAAAGACAACGTGAGAGCAGGTCCAGGACAGGGCAGGCATCTTTGGTGTCCCTCGGGGCGTCACCGTGTGCTCCGTGACGGTGTCCCCAACCCAAAATAATGGGGCACAGATTTTGGGATGCACACGTTTTGGGAATGGAGATGTGATGGGGTCCGGCAGTCTGTCTGGCTGGAGGCGGAGTGTGAGAGCAGGGACCGGGCTGCGCTGAGAACCCCGTGCTGAGCCCCCATTTGTCCCTGCAGCTCCGCCGACGAGGAGATCAGCAGCATCGGGAGCAACGAGAGCAGCGGGAGCAGCCGGAGCAGCCGTGCGGGGATGGAGCCGGAGCCGGAGCGTGGCTCGGGGCAGCGCGCGGGGGATTGACGCGAGCAATAAAGACGTTGAAGCAACCGGCTGTCGTCGGGGCGATGCGGGCGGCTCTGGGGCTGGCGGTTCTGCTGGCGGTTCTGCTGGGAGGAGCGGCCCAGGGGCGGCCCCGCATCCGAACCTTCAGCATCCCCATCGCTGGCCGTCCCCGCACCGTGCGGCTGCGGCAGCAGTAAGCGGGGATGGCGGCGGCGAACGGGGGCGGCCCCGGCGGGGTGCGGAGCGGAGCGGCACCGCGGAGGGTCCGTCTGTTCTGTGCGCAGAGTTTTTCTCCCCGAGGAGGTCCGGATTTACACCGACGGCAGCGGCGGAGGCGAGCAAACCGAACTAGCGCATCTGGAGGTAACGGTGCGGCCGTGCGCTGCGCCCGACGGCTTTGGGTAGGGCTGGAGGGGACACCCGGAGCAGCAGCGGTGCAGTTTCCCTTCTGCACGGACGCTCTTTGAGGCCTCTTGCTTTCCTTGGGATGCTCTTCCGCCCCTGGGGAGCGCACGAAACCTCAGTTGACGGTGCTCTGAGGCCGGGAGGAGCGGCCACCAAATGCCGTCGGTTCGGTGCTCGTTCCTCGGAACCTGAGGGGATGGGACGGGACCACAGCGCTCAGCTCTGGTGCCCGGCGCTGTTTCTGCTCCCTGCTGCTCCCCACACAGCAGGCACCGAGCTGATGGTGCGGCTTCACTGCTTCCAGCGCGACTGTTTCTATGAAGGCTACGTGGAGGGTTTCCCAGGGTCACTCGTGGCACTCAGCACTTGCTCCGGGCTCAGGTAAGCTGCCCGCCCTGCTGTGACAGCAGGAGCACAGGCAAGGGGACCGGCAGTGCTGCAGCAGAGCCATTCCTGCCCTGCATCTTCACCTTGCAGTGGGATCCTGCAGCTCGCCAACACCAGCTATGGGATCAAGCCTCTGGAGGCTGCATCTGGCTACCAGCACCTCGTTTATCAGATGGAGGGGGAGAACGTGGGCACGCAGCCGCTGGGAGGAAGCAGCTCCCTCGCCTGGGCTGCAGAGGTGTCCCTACAACCATGGGATGGAGCGGTGAGCACAGCTCGGGGCAGTTTGCTTCGGTGCAGTGATGCCATAGACCTGGGAGATCTCCAGCTCTCTGCAGCTGGGTGTTGTTCCTGCATTTGTTCAGCACCTCAAATGTTAATGACTCCCCTTGTTAAAATGTGTGTGGGGATTTTTTGTTGCTGTTTAATTTGTTTTGTTCTTCTCAAGGCGAAGGAAGCTGTTCCTAAGTCCCCTCGGTATCTGGAGATGCACATCATTCTGGACAAAGCTCTGGTGAGTTCGCATCTTCTCCATCCTTAAATTGTTTTCCCTAGGAAAAACCTTCACAGAACATCAGGGGAAATGTGCACAGGGCTTGGCAGGCCCCAAGAGGTGGGAAGCAGCTCCCCTGGGCATGGAAAATGACACGGAATGGGTTGCAATGGGAGAGCTGCCCAGTGTGGGGGCAATGCGTGGTGGCAGCTCTGTGGGCAGACCCTGCACGGGGTGCCCCTGTGCCCTGCAATCTGTCATCTTTCAGTACGACTACATGGGAGCAGACAAATACGTGGTGACAACGAAGATGGTGCAGCTTTTCAGCTACGTGAACAGCGTGAGTGCATTCAGTTGGGTGGGAGAAGTGCTGCAGAGGGATGGAAAAGACCCCACACCAAAAGAGTGGGGAGCAAAGTTGCCCCGACCAGCCACTGTTTCTGCCTCTTTCCAGATGTTCGCTCGCCTCAACCTGACCATAGTGCTGACTTCCCTGGAGCTCTGGACAGAAAAGAACAAGATTCAAACCACGGGAGCTGCTGAAGAGTTACTGCAGAGATTTCTGCAGTGGAAAAGCACACATCGTACCTCGCAGCTGCAGGACATAACATTCCTGTTTGTGTGAGGAGGGGATGACTGGCGTGGGGATGACAGGAATAGGAGTGTTGGTGTAGTGCAGGGCAGCACCACAGGGCTCGGTCTGTGCTGTCCTCAGCTACAGGGAGCAGTCCTATTCCATGGGAGCATCCTCTGCAAGGAAGCTGTGCCTCAAGGACCGCGCTGGAGGAGTAGCTTTGGTATGGAGCCCTGTGTCCATGCAGGAATCCCTGTGCCTGGGCACAGCATTGGGCTGTGGGTGAGGGCTGCTGGCAGCAGGGATTGCTCTGCTGGGTGCTGAGCTGTGGTGTGGGGGCTTTGGGCTGGCGGTGCCCCACAGCTGCAGTGCCCTCGCAGTGCCCTCGTGCCACAACGCTGGAGATGTTCTCAGTGGCCGTGGCTCAGCTGCTTGGGCTCAGCCTGGGGATGAGCTACGATGACCCCGGGAGCTGCAGCTGTGTGGGAGCCACCTGCATCATGCAGAGCAGTGCAGTGTAAGGCTCCTGTCCTCCTAATGTAGCTTCTGCTGATGGGAAGGGCCGTGGAGCCCCGGCACACAGACCTCACCCTCTGCTTACAGTCACTCAGCTGGTGCCAAAGCCTTCAGCAACTGCAGCATAAGAGACTTGGAGCGTTTTCTCACCTCTGGAGAAGGGCAGTGCCTGCTGAACAGGCCACTTGTGAACGTGTCCTACAAAGCTCCAGTGTGTGGCAACAAAGTGGTGGAGCTGGGAGAGGCCTGTGACTGCGGGTCGGCGGAGGTGGGTGGTGAGCCCTGGTGGGAGCTGTGCCTGGGGAAGAGCCATGCCAGGAACCCCTGGAGCTCTGTCCATACATCCCTATGGGATCAGCATGAGCTCTCCTGACTGTCTGTGCTCGTTGCTTCCAGGAGTGCCGGCGTGATCCCTGCTGCACTGTGGGCTGTAAGACAAGGAAAGGGGTGCAGTGCCTGTCGGGGCCGTGCTGCTCCAGGTGCAGGGTGAGCCGTGCTGCAGCGGTGTTGCATTGCTTGTTTGCAAGACCTGTGTGCAGAGCACCCTAACAGGACCCTGTGCTGCTGCCTGTGGGTGTGCACTGTGCAAAGCTCTTCTCGTTCTGCCTCTTCCCACCAGTTTATGAAGAAAGGCACCCTGTGCAGAACTAGCTCTGAGGATGAATGCGAGCTGAAGGAGTATTGCAATGGCACCTCTGGGGCGTGCGCACCCAACCTGTGGGTCATGGATGGGCATCCCTGCAGGCAGAACACTGCCTTCTGCTACAGGGGGGTGTGCCAGACTGCTGACAAGCAGTGCCAGGAGATCTTTGGCAAAGGTGGGGCAGCATGCTGCTGGGGGAGCTGTTTTGCAGGGGGTATAAAGGGCCAAGAATCAAAACCACTGGGTGCAGCAGATGGTCCCAGTGATGACGCCCAGCTGCGAGGTGGGGTGAGGCTTTCTGGCAGTGATGATGTGTGTTTGCAGATGCCAAAAACGGACCCTTGGCCTGCTATGAGGAAGTCAATGGCCAAAGGGACAGAATGGGGCACTGCGGCTCTGATCACAGTGGTTACCACAGCTGTGCCTGGAGGTGAGGGCTGTGGAAATGCTTCTCTCCCGTGGCTGCGCTGAGCCCTCTTGTGTCAGAGAGCGACACAAAGAGGAGCAGAAGGGTGAGGGTGGTTTGCAAAGCCCTGTGCTCCTCGTGCCTGCAGTGATCTCCGCTGCGGGAAGCTCATCTGTGAGTACCTGGGCACTGTGCCCTTCACCAAGGAGAGGGCTGCCGTGGTTTACGTGCTGGTGCAGAACGTGCTGTGCGTCACGCTGGACTACATGCAGCCTCGCACAGAGAGGGACCCCATGCTGGTGAGGGATGGCAGCGTTTGTGACGACCGTAAGGTGAGCGGTGCTGAGGTGTGGGGTGGCTTCTGTGGAAAGGAGGAGATGTCAGAAGCATTTCTGCAGCAGTGGAGACCCAGGGGCAGTGGCTTTTCCATTGGTTGGATCCCAAACAAGTTGAGATCGATAGTATGAATGCCACTGAATGGGGTGAAGCAGGAGGTGGGTGTCCATCGTGTGCCGACTCTGTGCTTTAGGTCTGCATGGAACAGAAGTGTGTGTCTGCTGCTGCCTTGAACTACAGTTGTGACATAAGGAGAAAATGCCACGATCACGGTGTAAGTGACAGTGCTACGTGTGCTTGGTTTTGGAACCACTGTGTTCTCTGCAGCTTGCAGGCGTGAGGATGCATTCATGGTCAGCTGATAGAAATCATTTCTCTTCCTCTGCCACGCAGGTGTGTGACAGCAAAGGGGATTGCCACTGTGATGTTGGCTGGAAGCCCCCAGATTGCAGGGAGAAAGCGGAGTCACGGGGAGGGAGCAGTGAGAGTGGTGGTGAGCAAGGAGGGCTGTGAGTGCAGGAGGGGCTGTTTCCCCTCTGTTTCCCCTCTGGCTGCTGTGGGTTGAAGGAGTTGTCCCTTGCAGAGCCCTGGAACAAGAGTTCACTGAAGACATGGCAGCTTCTCACCTTGTGTCTCAGTGTGCCCATCCTCCTTGGGCTCATCTTCGTGGTGATAAAGAGAAAGGAGCTGAAGCAATGTCTGTCCACAGAGCAGCCACAAGAAGAGAAGTGAGCCTGCTCCCCTCCATGGGGTGTGGGTGGCAAGAGGGGCAGAGCCCAGAGCTTGCCATTGGCATGAGGAGGGGAAGGCAAGTGCTGTTTGGCACTTACAGGAACCCCCTTCTGCTCCCACTGTAGGTTTGAGGAAAGCACTGACAAGGAAAGGAGCACAATGGATGCATAGCAGCACAGCTGGAAAGGCCTTTAAGGATCTTGCCCAATTCGTGGGTGTCTGTGATGATCTTCTGAATGGAGGCAGCAGCAGCAGCAGCATGGACCCCTGGGCAGGGGGCTGGAGTCTGTGTGAGGGACACTGAAAGGCCTCTGTCCCACTGTTGTGTCCTTGTGTGTGTTGTTCAATAAAAGGTATTTCTGGTGCCTGAGGTCTGTGATCCCTGCAGGGCAGGGCAGGGTGTAGGTGCTCCCTTCATACATTACTTCTGCTCTCATCCCCCCCGGAGCAGTTGCCATGGGAAGAGCATGCCATCCACTAATGCACATTTAATCAAGCATTACAGCCTTGTGCTTTGACAGCAGGAATTTAAAGACAACCTCAGCTCGTGTTCGGCCATTAAGAAGTTAGCTGGAAATGCAGATTAATCCTCAACCTACATGAAATGTGACTCTGGGAGCTTTGCTCCCTGCTATGCAGCACTTACTGCACGGCAGCAGCTTCAGCCATGTCTCCCCTTAATTTACCTTGGCTGCACCGAGGCTGTTATGAGAACATAAATTAGCAGCACTGTGCAAACCCAGGGCTCAGGACTCAATTGGTGCACACACCACTCCCCCAAGGGACAAAATCCCCAGTCCTGGAGGGAGGACACCACTGGGGTGCCATGCTGGAGCTTCTCCCCATGTCCCCATACTCACAGCCCCATCCCTGCTGCAGGGGCTGGAGCTCAGCACTTGCTTATCAGCAACCTTTACTCGTGTTTGCTCAGCCCCTCCGGCCACAGGCACCCCCCCCCCAGGCCAAGGTTCGGGGCTGGCTCAGCACAAAGCAGGGCAGCAGAGTGTCCCAGCTGGGGATGGAGGCCGGGGACGGGAAGGAGGAGAGCCTACAGCCCATGGCACTGAGCCGCTTCCAGCTCTCCGAGGAGTACGGCTTCCTTCTGCCCAACCCTCTGGTAGGACACAGCCGTGCCCTCGGGTCTGCGTGCTAAAGAGAGTCGGGGCAGATAAAAGTAAAGGCAGATATTGGGGTTGGTGAGCGCTGTGTTGGTTGGGCTGCCACTCAGCACTGCTTTACAGTAGTTTACAGAACCAACGAGGAATGCATGCGAGATTTTGGCTTAGGCAGATTCATAGGACAAATTCCTCGCTTTAAAAATGACGACGCTGGCTGCAGCAAACGGCACAGGGGGAGAGGAGCAGGAGCTTTGCAATTCAGATAGCGGCTGTGGATTTACGAGGAGGGAATTTAGATGGCAAATCTCCTGCGCTACAAGCGGTGCCATTTGTCACCAGGCGCAGCTTACAGCAGGAGCTCTCAGGGACAGGCAGACAGTTGTGTATCGGCCATTAGTTCACAATCACAAGGGCTGGTATTACAAGTGGAGGAACCAGACACGAGCCATTAGCTGCAAATCTGAGGGCTGGATGGGTGCTCCTGTCCCTTGCCACAGAACCTTTCCCCATGCAGTGGAGCACTGCCCTGTGCACACCTGGCACTGCCACTGTGCTCCCTTTCCCCGACCTGCAGCTGCTTTGCACCAGGATGAAGCAGCTGTGTTCAAGTGCAGACTTGATCTCCCAGCCCTCTGTGCCCTGAGCAGGATCAAGCTCCCAGCCTCAGAAAGGACCTGTGTATCTCTCTGGTCCCCAGCATGTGATGTGCTGATGCCTGATGCTCTCCCTCCTGCCGTCTCCCCAGACAGAGCTGCCACCTTCCTACAGCCCTTGGATGGACATTGCCCAGGAGCTGCCCCAGCTGATCGCCAGCCACCAGCTCCGTGCACGCATCCACCAGGTACATGTCACTGCATCTGGCTTTGGAGTGCTCTTAAACTTCAATCTGATGCAGCTGGGTCTGCAAAGGTCAATGCAAAGCAAACCAACAGTGCTCTGACTGGGTCAGGTTAGCACCGGTCACTTTTGTGCCTGCAAAAGCAAAGCCTTAATTTGGCATAGAGCTAACTCATTGCACAGCTGCTGAGACACCTCACGGTGCAGGGCAGTGAGATTCCAAGGGTTACCAGGGTTCATCACATGTAACCCAACCAGTTCCATCAACAGCAAACCCTGAAGGGGTGGGAGGAAAAGAACAGATATCCACAGGGAGAGCATAGGGCTGGGGGTGTGCAAGGCGAGGTGCCAGGAGGGCACTGCTGGGCTGGGAGCACACAAGGCACATGTGCTGCCCATTGCTCGTGAGGGTCTCTCTGTCAGATGCCACAGCTGAACACTCAACACCTCCAAGGACGAGAGGAGCTGCACCTGGCTCACCTGGTGCTCAGCTTCCTCACCATGGGCTACGTCTGGCAGGAGGGCGAGGAGGGCAGCATGAAGGTAACATCAGCCCCTGCTCTCTGGGGGCCACAGCCTTCCTGCAGGGGTGATGCCAGAGCTGATGTAAAGCCCCATGCTGTGCTCTGTGCCCCCCCCAGGTGCTGCCCCGCAACCTGGCCGTCCCCTTCTGGGAGGTGTCACAGGCCCTGGGGCTGCCCCCCATCCTCACCCATGCAGACTTCATCCTGGCCAACTGGAGGAGGAAGGATCCCAGCGGGTAACCAGGCGAGAGTGGCTCCTGTCCAGCACAGAGCTCCCATCACAGCCAGAAACCATTTGGAACCACCACAGCCTGGGGCTGACCCATGGCTGAGAGCCAGGGAAGGGTTTTGCCCCACGGTACCTGTGGGGGCAAGTGGCCAAAGGCTGGACCTCCCACTGGCAAGCGACCCTGTTTGCATCCTATGCAGCACAGCCCACTGCTAGAACCGTTTATAACATCTCTCTATCTCTCTGCTTCTCCCCCTTTTCATGTGTATTTGCTGTCGATGCTCAAAATGCCTCCAGGCCTCTGGAAATTAAGTAAGTATTTAAGATGCTTATTTATTTTCTAACAGCATTAGTTTTGTTTGTATTGGCATAGTGCTCCCACACTGCAGGGCTCTGCTGGGTTAAATCTCTCTCACCCAGTGAGAGAAACAATTCAGTCCTTGGCACACAGACACCACTGCAACAGCAGCAATGCACCATGGCAGAACCACTGCAGCTCCAACCTCTGCAGAGCAGTGCTACCAGGGAAGGGTTTAGGATCCCTCAGAGGCAGAGCAGAGCATTTCCCTGCCTACCTGTGCTTGAAGAGTGGGACATTTTGCACCTGGAAGATTTTTCCCCCCAAGGATTGAGCCATGCTCTGGCCCAGCATTGGAGCAGGCAGCTGCACACCGAGTCCTGTGCAGATCCTCCAAACCATTCACCCATTTCTAGGATGCAGCAGTGCATTGGTGCTCAGTGCAAACTGCTGCAGCCCCTGAGCGCAGCACACACGTGGTGTCTGGGCTGGAGACAGGCAGGGAAACAGGGAAACAGCTGCTGGCTGCCCTGCAGGAACCTGGAGCCCATCATATCACTGCCTGGGGGAGAGAGCCTGCGCGGATTCATCCTCGTCACACTCCTGGTGGAGAAAGCAGCTGTGCCTGGCATCAAGGTAGGGTGCTGCAAGCCCTGCAACCACCTGACCCCACAAGTATTCAGGGCACAGGCTCTCTAGGTAAGTAGGGTGCATTTCCCTCCACCCATCTTAGCCCATCACTTCACGCTCTCCTTCTCTGCTCCTTGCAGGCCACCATTCAGGCCATTCACGCCCTCCAACACTTTGATGATGAGCGCCTGCACCGAGCCCTGCAAGAGCTGGCAGAAGCCATTGGAGACATGGACAAAGCCCTGCAGCAGATGCACGGTACCAGGAATGGATGCACAGTAACAGCAGCCTGCACCCTCAGGGCTCATTGGATGCATGGTGTAAACGCACTGTGCTTTTGAGCACCTCACCAAGCCCTGCTCTGAGGGCAGAGCAGGGTCCCCTGTGCTCAGGGAGCCCACAGGAAGCATTGCTGCAGGAGCCACCACCTGCATTTTCCCCACAGTAACACCTCTGGTCTAATTTCCACCTAGATTACGTGGATCCAGCAGTATTTTACACCGTGATCAGGATCTTCCTCTCTGGGTAAGTGGGGTGCATTTCCCTCCACCCACATCACCTGCTCAGAGCAGCAGAGCACAGCGCCGTGGCTTTGCTGTCCCTCAGCTCCTCGCAGGGCTGCCAGCATCACAATCCTCTCTGCTCTTGGCCTTCTCAGAAGTTTTCTATTTTTATTTCTGTTCAGCATTTCTCAGCATTCCTAAGTCAAAAGGCTCCATGCATCCTGATGATGTTTCTTTCATTTTATTTTTTTTTTAATCCAAGCTGACCTTGTCATGATGGTCATCAGCCTGGAAAAACATGTCTCTGAATTCCCTTCTGCTTATAAGTACTTCCCACTAGTAAAGGCTACTATAAATACATCCCTGGGAGAACTAAAAATATTAAGGTATTCGATAATGAATCTATTTTCTCTGCAATTTGAGCAAAATCTGCTCCTGCAGTCAAACAGCACCAGCAGCCAACGCCGAAAGCTCCATGAAACAGTGCATTCTTCAGGAGGTCAGGAGATATTTTTGTGCCAGGCACATTATGGCTCTGAAATTATAACTCCTCTCTCCATTTGCAGGAGAGCATTTATCCATTTTTGCACAAGCAGGGTGACACGGCTGTGAGTTAATGGCGTGCAGAGGGGGGAGGCAGCAGAGCAGCTCAGTTCCTGGCCTTGCTAGGGATGAACATCTTTCATGAGAGGGAGGAAATCACATTCTGGGCTCGTTCTCTGCTGAAATAAAGGCAGTGGATGAGGATGCAGCCCCGGGGCTCATAACAAAACACACCATTATGGTTTTCTCCCTGCACCGTGACCTTGCAGTGCACCTTGACGTGCTGTTTATTCCCGAATTTATCTTGCATATGAGGACAGCTCTCAGGGTGCAGTGATGCACGGCTGGGGGCAGGAAGGCAGCACTTCATCTACCAGCCCAGGGTCACTCCTGCAGCCCAGCACTGGTTGTGCTGACCTGTCCATGTCTGTGCAGCTGGAGGGACAACACGGCCATGCCCCACGGGCTGCTCTACGAAGGAGTCTCCGAGCAACCCATGGCGTTTTCAGGAGGCAGCGCAGCACAGAGCTCCGTGCTCCACGCTTTCGATGAGCTCCTGGGGATTCAACACAGCCAGGAGAGCAGTAAGTCCAACACTTCTCCCTTTTCTCAGGGGCTGCACAGAACCAACCCGCTGCATTGCCCGTTGCGCAGCTCCCGTTGTG